AGATTTGACGTATCGCCATTTGTACATTTTGGTCTCTTCGTGCACCACCGTCAGTCGATTAGAAACGAAAGTGCTGACGTTGTTCAATTAGTGTATTACAATGGCACAGTCGGTCCACAATGTGACGCGTTCTTCGAATATACAAAAAAATCTGTCGCAGCTGCTTTGCTATACGTACAGCTAGCACTGCCGCGGCAGTTCGAGGTAGGGTATCGATACGCATTTCAATGGGGTGACCCGTGCCTTGGCAAACGTAGTTCCGTCTTGCACTCAACGTTCACATGCAGCCAGTATACGTAAGCTACTGCACCGTATCCCGTCTCTGACACGTCGGAGAATAAGTGCAATTCGGTCAAGCCATCGGAGGCGGTACAGAGCGACTAATTCTTATAAGCAAAGACTATCCGCACCCAAGAAACGATGACGAACCTTGTCGCAGCTCACCCGACGCTCCCACTAGACATGGGCAATGCTTCGGAGAAATCGGTGGTCGAATACGGAAATTCGATTAGCATCTTTCGCTCGGAGGTGCCAAGTCTCGCAATCGTAAAACAGAACGCTACGAACGGCGGCGATAAACACCCTTCCCTTAAGGGACAAACGGATGTCATGGTGGCGCAACAGATGTCGCAGGTTGGCAAAAGCTGCTTTAACTTACGCTATTCGTGATGTGATCTCCACATCATAATCATCTACGATCAAGCTTCCGAGGTAGTTAGGGCTCATAACTACTTCCATCTGATCACCACAGAGGGTGAGTGCAGGCACAGGACCCTGTCAGCCTTGAAAAAGTACTTTGCACTTGGATGGTGCAAAGCACATACCATACCTGGATACCTCTAACGCCAATCGTTTCAAAGCGTGTTGGACTGCTTGTGTTTTGTCACCCAACAATGCGATGCCATCGGCATATTGTAAGTCAAGAACTTTGTTCACTAAGAGGAGTTCGACTTAACCGAGGGCTAGACTGGCCATAGCAATCTGCAGAACATCCTCTATGACAAAGTTGAAAACGAATGGGGATATAGGGCAGCCTTGTCAGACTAGACCGAGGAAGGATGGTGGAAGTTGACCATAAACCGTAAATCGACCCAAGGGATGACGATACAACTTTTTGATGATCGACGCACTTCTCTGGTATTCCATTCCTCAACAAACAGTTCGACAACGCAGACCTATCGACAGAGTCCAAGGAAACGCAGATGTCTAAGAAGACAACGATCGCTGGTATTTGTAGGCATGACGGCGCTCTAGTAACCGTCAGGTGAAGATTTAATGAACCGCACATCGGCTCAGCATACACGGCGCTCGAGCCTCAAGAATGCTTATGGTCATTCTTACAGTGGTACGGATGCTCGTCACACGGCTGCTTAGACAGAAGCCAAACATTGTCCAGAGCTGACCAGCTAGTTAAAGCAGCCATTCCACGCAGCAGCGCGGCACTACTTCACACTAAGAAGCGTATGAGTGTGTACCATAACAGCGCGATCAGCGTTACTTCAACGATTCACGTGGGTAAAAATAAGATGAAGGTTCTCTTGCAGCCCTGTGGAAATATATATATATATATATATATATATATATATATATATATATATATATAT